CGCACATCGCTGACATGGTGACATGGTGTGCTATCCTGCTGGAATAAGACATCTGAAGATGAATATGCTGTAGTCATAATGAGATGGAAATGGTCAGCAATAATGCTCAGATATGTTGTTAAACCACGATCAGCTGATGCTAAGGGGCCCAAATTAATATATAAGGCATGATGGATCCATGCTTTTATGTTGTTTGCAGCCAATTCTGACCCTCCCACCCGAATGTGGCAGCAGAAATCAAGACTCATGAGAGCAGGCAACATTTTTTTAAGCTTCTATTGTCCAATTGTAGTGAGCACGTTTGCAAAATAGGTTCAGTTTACTGTTCTGTAGCAGTTTCAATGTTTAGCATATTGCGCATTTATATATGCTTGTCTACATACCTCGGTTTATCAACAGTTGATTATTTGAGTTGCTGTTGCCGTCCTATCACCTTGAAACAGTCTGGCCGTTCTCCTCCGACAACAACAAGGCATTTTCACACAGGGAACTGGATGTTTTCTGTCAAATTTTCTATCAAATGCATTATCACTGCAGTTGATACTTTAGTGTAAAATTTATTTCATTTTTATAAAAGATAGACGTCTTAAATACAGATGTTTTATTGTCCCTTCCTTATGACTCATGACGAAGGGCTAGAAACCATTGTACTAAACTGGTCTGTGCACAAAACGGACTCAGCCTTGACTTGTTACAAGAGAATAAGCTGCAGTCATACCTATATACCGGTACGTAAATTAAATAATAGAATACTTCTTCTACTGCTGATAAAGGGCTTCAAGGACTGATGTGTCATACCACGTCATATAATGTAACACCACAAATTCTAAATGAAAAACTGTTAAATCATCTTGAAGCTACAGTGGGTAACTGTATCAGATTAATAAAGGTATTTCTAAGTAAATTCTCTCCTCGCAGCTTCTTAAAAATCGGAATATTTGATGGTTTTCTTATTATATTAAACTGAATATCAAGTTTTAGACTCCTGTTCAATCACACCCAGCATTAAAAGGACATATTATTGACGTCTGGATAGTAATGAAAGCATTTTTGATTATATTGCTGAGACTTTATGGGTTTAGGTAGCAAGTATATTATTTGCTGTCTGTCTTTTGTTTTGGGAAATAAAACAAACAAACAAAAAAAAAAACACCACACCTCTCCTGAGCAAAAAATCTTTTTTTTTTTTATTTCTCGTTGAAAGGAACTTGGTAGAATACAGCAGAACACACATGACTGAAACAGCTGCCATTTCACGTAACACAGTACAGGAAGAAGGATGTAGTTCAATCGCATGTGTAATATCATATATAGTATACTCATATCAATAGAAAAGAAAAAAAAAAACTATTGCTCCCAGGTGTTTATTTTTTTCATATGGCATTTCTCTGCTGTGTTGAAGTGGGTAAAGTAAAATTCAACGAGAGGTTTTGCACACCAAAGGAAATGGGACAATGAGAGTGACATTTCCCAAAATATGTGGGAAAGTTGTGGCTTTTTTTTTAATTAGGCTGTGAAGTAAACTTTCTTTTGTCTATTGCAATGCAGAAATAAAACTTTAAACCGCTCTCAAAAAATATGGATAAATACCATTATACAGCAATCAGAATATGCAAAAGAAAAGAACACAAGGCAGCTCCGCGTAAGAGCAGGCATGCAAAAATGATCATATTTTAAAAAGGAGCACTAAAGACGAAATGTCGATGACTTCAGGTGTTTATGTTTGCGCCATTTGGCAACTGATGGAAAGCCAATTCATGACAAAACATGGGTTAAAAGGTGTGGACTGAAACGAGGGGACAACTCGATGCTCTGTAAAGTGAACTGGAGTGCTGAGTGTTTGCTGACAAACTACTTCAGTGAAGTTGTTTCTATAAATTGCTATAACATACTCTGTTATCAATTTGTTGTACTCTCTTTAATTTCCTCTAAGGAAAAAAAAAAAGACATGTTAGGAAAAAAGCAGGTATGAAATATCACCCTGGACATTTGCATCCAAGTTTAGTGTTTTAAATAAGCCACTTTAGGCAGCATTATCTATTAAATGTCTCGTATTTCTAAGACATATTTTAATATATCTCTTTTGAAAAATAATTCTATCTATACTTGATCTTTTTTAGTAAGTAAATCTCTTCCAGTATATATATTTTTCTTTATGTTCCTTTAGGTACAGCACCCCATTATGGGTTTTAGTTTTCCAAAAGCACCTAATTTATGTTACAATCAGACTGAATAGTACTTCAGTCATTAATGGTCTGAGTTCAAGATTAGAGGATCCAAATGGTGAACCCTAAGTGAGTCAACAAGATCAATACCCTTGAGACTGTAGCTCAAGCCCGGCAATATTAAGCTTTTTTTAAATTCGTGACCAGTGCTACAGGCCTGAGCTCACTGCGTCCCCCTTTGAGAAGAAGGTCACAGGGGTCAGACGTGGCCATGCATCTTAGGAGACATCATCAGTTGCCACAGATGGCTCAGCTGCAGCAACTGGCTGACCAGATCTGCACCCAGAACCTCTTGAGGATGATGCACAGGCACAGGTAGTGCTGATATATATAGATATATACCCCAAAATACAGATGGGACTTGCCAGCCCTGAGACACAACGAGCCACGTGTGAGCAGGCCACACCGCAATTCAGCTATCGGAGCAAGAAGTCAGCACCTGAGGAATGCCCAGGAGGGAAAGTGGAAGGGTGCAAAACAAGGAGAGAAGAAGGGTGGGAGGTCATTTGAACTCATTTGGATTGTCTGTAGAATCCAAATGAGTCATGTGCTTGTAACAGATCACCTTACAGGGAACCTCACTGGGCTGAGAGGATGTCCGGCGATGCCAAGGGTGCCACCCCACTCCCATGTAGCTGAAACTGTGGCTCTGAGCGTTGTGGGTCTGTCTGGGCAAGCTGTTCATTACAGGTCACTTTAGACAAGAAACACACACAGCCATGGTGAACGGTGCAGGTGCTCTGGCTCACTGGCACACTGCACCTGCTGGTTTGGGTATGTCACATGTTTCACACTTCCTTATTATCATCACACAGACTACAGGTCAGCGCCAGGTGAGCTCTTACCATTTGATGTCAACTAGAAAGTGGTACCGGTAATCTACTGCTGTGTCTCTGCCAAACTTAATTTGCTGGGCTACATGTGAGGTCATATGGACAATCAATATATTTATATTTATATATATATAGATATATATATTCATATATATATTTTTAAATCAAAGGGGAAATCTCATACAGGAGCTGACTACTGCAGTCTGCACTCAATTAGCTATAACATCCACCTAAACTTTATAACATTATTCTCTTATATAGACAGTAATTTCTCAGTCAAATATACTTTTTTTTTAATTATTTAACTCCGGATTCATTTCATCATGCACAGAATAGTCGTTCCTCTCTCTCCGTTTCTCTGTTTATATCCAGGCTTTGCATCATGTTGTCAGCTCCATCACAAATAGCCACCACTCCTCTCTGCATCAATCGTCGTCCACATCGTCTCCCTCCGACTCCTCTCCGGCTCTCCTCTCGTACATCTTATCCCGGTGCCTCTCCTGGATCTCTTTCATTTCCTCGGCGTAGCGGCTGAACGCTCCCCCGAACTTGCTCCACGCCTTGAAGGGGATTGTTATAGAGTTTCTGTAACTGGGCTTTACTTCGCTCACCCGCAAGAAAACTCCATACTTGTTGGATCCAACGTCAAAGAAGAACCGCTTGGAGTCCACCATGATTGAGGTGCCCTCCGGAAGCTCGCTGTAGCCCCCGGCCCCTCCGCCACCGGCAAGCTCTTCCTCATCTCCCCCGTAGTCGTCTATCAACTTGGCCAAGGCGTCACGGAACTCTATTAAGCCTTGGGCCGGGAGTGCGATGGTTTGTCCAGCCTGCAGGCCAGCACCGGGAATGCCACCCACTCCGACTCCGAAACCAGGGCCTCTATTGACGGTCTGTCGGATCCGGAGAAACCGACCCCGCTGGTTCTCCTTTAGGTCGAGGTAGTATTTTCGGTTCTCACGCACCAGGAACTCGCTCTTCAAGGCCCGTCTAGGCCCGGTGTCATCCCCACCGGAGGACTGAGCAATCTGCTCCGGAGTACTAGGCCCAAGTTGGGCGTAGTGCTCTATGAAATCCCCCAGGTAGTCACGGAACTCCGCCGCAACTGACATAGAGAGGGTCAGCCGACTTTTGGAGCCGCCAGCTCCGACCTCGGCGATTTTGATGAACCGGCCTTTGGCGTTCTGCTTTACGTCAAGGTAGAAACGTTTATTCTGAATGTCCAGCCGCTTCGACGCCAGTTCCTGGGTCTCCGGTTCCCGCTGGTAATGCTGAAACCCGCCGCCTCCACCCCCTCCGCCACCGCTGCTGCCACCGCGCTCACTACCACTATCCCCATCCGCCATCTTCGCCACCAGCAGCCCGTTTTCTCTGCGTATCTTTGACCCCCACCCCCCTTGTTACCGAGCTCACGGAGGCAACCGGACGCTGACTGCTGAGCTCCGGTTGGCTGTTGTGCCTGTCAGTTAAAACATCAGACGAAGAGCCCAAGTTTTCATTCGCTATTTCTCCTGCCTGTCAAGACAACGTAACGGCTTTCCAGATGACATTCGAGGAGATACTGTATTTGCAATCCATAACTGCTTATTGATTATTTGTAGCATATGTTCAATGGAGTACATGTCATTTAGAGATCATTTTACAGCCATAACGAATTCATGTATGACGCCAGTACAATAATATACACGTTTGAAGACGTTATTCGTGTCCTTGCACTGAATTTCATGGATTTCACTGAATTAATCCGAGCTATAGCCCGCTTTGTTATGTATTTTGTACGGTTTTAGGATGGATGTCCCTGGAAGGACACTACACACGAACACACAGTCCCGCCTACTTCGTGGTTTCGTGCGCAAAGACAGGCACGATGAGCTTAGGGTGGGGGATGGGTGGAATTTCTGCAAAGGGCAAGGCTATTGGTTTAGACTGAGATTCGAAGTAACAACGCACTCTCTTATTGGCTCTCTCGGCTCCCACGAGGGGTTGCATGCAAACGATTTGCGAAAAGGTTTATTGTTTCTTTGCTTTCGGGAGCCGAAACTGTTTGGAATCTACTCAGCGCTACAATAAAATAACGCGTCGGGAAAAATGGTATGTGAACTCGGGGTAATGCTCAACGTGTTATAGGAGATATTGCCGTTTTTTATCTTGAATAACTGTGCAGTTGTAGAAAGTCCTGCTTTGAATTTGAACTGGGGAAATCCGCGCAGAATGTGTGTGGTTAACAAGCTTGCTAAGAAGCTAACTGACAGCTAAACCATTAGCATTATCGTTACCGTAAGAAGTTCGATTCGTGTGGATTTTCGGCTAAAAGTAGACTGCTTTTAAGCTTTGAGTGTTTGTTCCGAGTTGTTTTGGGTATATTTGCAAATTTTTGGAGGTGGGTCGCTCATTTAAGAGAATAAACTGCTCTTTGAGTCTGTGTAGCCTGTGGCTGGTGCTTTAGCAGTAACTGCAAGCTAACTTTAGCTAGTTCGTTGGCTTAACGGCTGGTTAACTGTTAGCTGCTGAATAATTCCTTTAAAATGAGTCTGCAGGTGATGCAAATTAGTAAAGATGACTTTGTGTTTTATTTGAGTCCAGGTGACTTTGTAAGTCCAACTTTCTTTGTCAAAATCTTTGAATGAAAACTTGACCGCTGACGGTCTTAAGGCGGCGCGTCTGTTTTGTTTGTCGCGGGGTCACTGCCAGCAACCTGCTGACAGGTTCTCGTATTTTTTAAGGAACGGAGTCGTTATTGTCTCTATTAAATCGGTTATTTTATCTTTAGGGTGTATACTTGCTGTTTCCGGGGCCGGTTAACGTTGCTACTTTTCATTTCTGTTTTATTTTTGATTGGCGGGAAAGCGACAACTGTTGAACCGGGCGTAACGTAAACTACTAGAACAATAACACGGAGAGCTCAGCGGTGACTCTCTAATTTATTCAGATTCGATTTTGCTATGTCACTTTAAGTCTTTTATTTTTCATTTAATACAAGTCAGGCGTATTCGTTTCACATTTGCTTCCACTTTCTGATTTCATCTTCTTCTTTTCCGTTTAATCACTCAATGCAGGCTGGTGGCAAAGCAGGAAAAGACAGTGGCAAAGCCAAGGCGAAAGCGGTGTCGCGCTCCCAGAGAGCTGGTCTGCAGGTAAATGTCAATCATTTGTCGTGGTGCAGTTTGTGGCTTTGCTGCAGGTGTTAAACGCCACAGGACGTTTGCTTTTGAAAAAGAAAATTGGACCACTATCTTACTTCTGTTTCCTGACAGTTCCCAGTGGGTCGTATCCACAGGCACTTGAAGACTCGCACAACCAGCCACGGTCGTGTAGGAGCCACAGCAGCTGTTTACAGTGCTGCCATCCTTGAGTACCTCACCGCTGAAGTAAGACTTCCCATTCCCTCCATTTTAAACTTTGTTTTGATTAACAGTGTTACTTAATGTCAGCTTTGGGTGTTTTCACTGTAGCTAATTTTTTTGTTGATATGAATCCTTGTTTCTTTGTTTTTTCCAGGTACTAGAGTTGGCGGGTAACGCCTCCAAAGACTTGAAAGTGAAGCGTATCACTCCTCGCCACTTGCAGCTGGCCATTCGTGGTGACGAGGAGTTGGACTCCCTTATCAAGGCAACCATTGCTGGAGGAGGTGAGCTGGCAGTTTTCTGGACTGATTAATCGATATCTTATATAAACAATTTGTGTACAGATTGTATTCTATTTGCAGATTATGTATGTAAATCTCATGTACATTTCCTTCTGCTTTCAGGTGTCATTCCCCACATTCACAAATCCCTCATTGGGAAGAAGGGCCAGCAGAAGACTGCATAGATGCCATGTTGACCAGAAATTTGGGGGCTTGGGCTTTGAACGGACCAGGAGTTCACCTTTGTTCTTTTTTTATTATTAATATTATAGCAAACGAAGAGTGATTGTTAGCCTTTGTGTTTGTTATATTTACCAATAACTAGATAAAAAGTACAGAAAACCCCTTAAAGACAGTAAACCCTTTGTATGTTAATGTAGAGCGTTTGACTGGGGAGTTAATGATTATTTGAAATGGTGGCAGTGAATTTGTTTGATTGGCCTGGCTCTGTGTAATGTTTTATACTGAAAAAACAAATTGTTAAACTGTTTTTTATATAAAAGATCTTGTTTTGTGGTTATTTTCTCTGAAGTTATGATATTTACTATGACACATTTTTAAGGAGAATTTCTTTTTTTGAAAGTAAATTGGATAACAGCTAAATAGTAAGATGGTGCTTCTTTTCCTTTTGACTTACTGTAAAAAAAAAAAAATTGAACTGCACAAGAATAGTAATGTATTAAAAGTTACTTTTTTTTTTCTTACATCAAAATGAAATAACGTGTTGTAACCGCCTGCTACAGTGTTTTGTCTTAATGTTTACAGCAGTTGAAAAAATGTGTTAAACTTGAAACTACGTATTAACAGTGTAATCCTCAGCTAATTGGGAAACACTGATTGTAAACTTGTTGCCTCACTGTGGAACACAAGTCCTGCCATTTGTCAGCTACATATCACCACTGGGTACATTCAGTACTCTGATACTTTGGGAAAATAAGTAGAGGATAAGTAATCAGCGCTGAAAACATTTGTCTACACTACCAAAATATATAGGCATACTAAAAATATATTTATATTCCCCTTCTAAAAGTCCATTTCATTTTTAACGTTCAGATTTTGGAGCCTTTTTTTTCTTTTCTTTTTTTAAGCTGTATTCAGGGAAATGACTTTGCCTATTTTATCTTTGAATAAACACCATTGGCATGTTATCTCTGACTTGGTTTGAAACAAACTCATTTATAGAGACTGGAACATTACGTGTGACGCTGCAAATCATGAGCATAACTCCAAATATGCTTTCACATTGACTTATAGTCGTATTTTGGAAACTCCAGAATGGTTAAAAACAAGACTTTGTGCTCTTATGACTCAAAACAGCAGTACCAGATAAAAGCTTTCTGCATAAAAATAATTTCAGAAAATTAATGTTAATATAAAATCCAATCAAAACTAAACTATGAAGTAGCTTACGTTTCTGAGATCTTATTCAAGTTAGAAATTTCAAGTGGTCTTAACACAGGTTCAGGCTTTTATGTCAGGAGGGTTATCCCCTACTATTGCCAGTTACTCCGTACGCTAAATAAGCCTGTTCTTTTTTACATTGACATTAATAATAATTTATCCTACAGCTAAATATATCTCCACACTGAAAATACCCCGAACGGAAAACATGGGAAAGTTTTCTAAAAACTACAAATCGTCTATTTCAATTTATATACCATCAGTTCTCTTAACATTCTTGTAAAATTTACTGACAGTTGTTTTAATTGCATGATTGTTATGCATCACTAAGATAGAGGGTTTTACGACATGTGATCAGATATTTAAACCTGCCTTAAGTTCCATTTAAAAAAAAGTGGGCAGTGATTGCATAAAATAGTGATGCAATCACTGCCCACTTTGATAGGAACCCCTGTTCCACTGTTTGTTATCTCAAATATATAATCACACATCAGCAACTTGATGTATTTAAGCATACAGACATGGAGAAGATAACCTGCTCAACTGATCATCAGAATGGAGAAGAAAGCTAATTCAACTTTGAACGTTGTTGCTGGTTCCAGATTGGCTTATTTCAATATTTAAGAAATTTCTGATCTGCTGGAATTTTCCTGCACAACCATCTCTAGGCTTTACAGGAAATGGTTAAAAAAACCGAGAAAAGTGGCAGTTTTCTTTGTCCCATTGACAAAGTGGACAATAGAAGAATGGAAAAATGTTGCCTGGTCTGATGATCAGAATAATGCTTCTGCAAGCATCATGTAAACGCTACGCCACGAGTATTGATGCCGACCACGTTCTTTAAGATCGCAGCATGCCCATCTTCATATGGCTCCTTCCAACAGGTTAATGAACCATCTCACAAAGCTCCGATCATCTCGTACCAGTTTCTTCATCATGACAATTTAATGATTTAATGTACACAAAGTCATCACATCTCAATCCAATAGCCCCTTGAATACATGGTAGAACTGGAGATTCACATCATAGATGCTAGTTGTTATACACCCACACACTACTTTCACGCTACTGCTTCAGCAATCAAAACAGGATATTATCATATTTGTAAATATTTTGATTACTCTCTCTTTGTCTCTACAATAAAAGATATAAGGTTATTTAAGTGAGCACACATAAACAAATCAGGCTGATGTAGAATATAATTGTAAATGAACTATTTATTCTCAAGAACAATACTATATTAGATAACATCTCGCTTCCTTATATCATTTAACTGTAATGGTCTCAGTTTGGCTCATGATGTGATCAGCTGTCTACAAAGTTTGCAGTTACTTGCAAATTTGTAAATGCAAGTTCTGTATAAGTTGTCTTTGGTAATATCTCCCATTTATTTATTTCAAGTTACTCTGCTTCTTAGTTCTAACTAGTTTAGTTTAGTTCTACTAAAGTGGAATTTCTGAATAAAAATAAAAATGTAGTCATGTATTAATTACAGAAGAAGTGAGAGTTTTAAAAAGGATCCAGTTGTTAAGTAAACCTCATACAGTGATTGGCAGTTTTCAGCTCAGCTGGGGAGAGCACACACCTCTCATGAGAGCAAAAACTTTCCTAGAGAATAAAAAAAGAAAATATCTAATATTTGTTTGTGACACAAGGTCAACTATGGCATCTTTTTGGTCTTTTGCTTACAAACCCATCAGTTACTCTGATCCGCCTCGCTCCTGCTTCCTGTCATACCCCATTCATCCACTAGATGTCCTCAGACTTCTGTTCCAAGTCCTCTCTCCACCATAAACCATCTTACCTTTCCCTAATTTTCCCAACCACTGTCTAAATATTTGCCATTTTTCTTTCTCCCATACTAGAGTATTAGTTGAGTTCTCAGTCACTACTCTGATTCCTGATCAAGCCTATATTTTGTGACAATCTGAGGGCAAACCTCTATCTAAGAATACAGAATAGAATAGAACTGAATAGCCCTTTGTTGTCATTGTACATCTACAACAAAATTATGGGTGCTCAACAATTAAGAGGGATACATGCAAAATAGGAGAAATATATTCCGAAATAAGAAAAAGGCACACAATAGAGAACAAGATGTACAGTGCTTAGAAGTAGTGAAAAGAAAAAAAACTTGGTCTGAGGTGTTACTCATGAGTCTGGAGGTTTGGGACCTGATTGAGCTTGAGTTATGCATTTTTCGCATGTTCCTCATTGCATTTTATGGGGGTAAAACTGTGGAATAGTTTTACTATAGATCTACAGCAATGCTCAGGAATTAGTAAGTTCATGAAAATACTTCGAAAACTGATTTTGGAAGAATATGATACCGATAAAGATGATCACCCATTGTATGTATAAAAATATCAAATTATATCCAAATTATATCAATCACGGTAGCCAAGTTTATATAGGTTCTCCTCGTGTATCGTGTGGAGTATGTGATGATGGGAATTAGGTGAATTATGTGGGATCAATAAGATGTTGAGCAGGGGTAGGAATTAATAAGTATGTTCATACTTCTTCCTACTCCTTTTCAGACCAAACATTGTTACATTATGTCAGACGATTTTGTTTTATTTCATTATATATTTTTTGTTTATCTGAACACATACGTGTGTGTGTGTATATCTACATATATATTCGTATCTGTAAATGAAAATATATGTAGTGTGTATATATTGTTTTTTGTTTTATATGTCTGAAACAAATAAAGATACAATACATGTGGGGTTCATGTCAATACCTGGGAACGCCTCCCTGCACAAACCATGACAAATACACTACCAGTTTATTGAAATCATTCAAAACTCTGGAGAACATGCTTTTTGTTTTCTTGGTGAGAGTTGGACTGGCAAACTGGAAATACTCAGCCATTCTGACTGATGACTGTGACCATAACCCCGTCGTTTTTCATAGGGCTGCTTAAGGATAGCTGTTTCCATATACTTAGATGAACTTAACCCAGCTTAGGTCTCAATGGGAAGCCTTGAGTTATCGCTGTCTTGATGTCATCCTGGTGTGTTTATGCCAGACATGAAGATCAAGGGGTGGATCTAACTGCACAATCATATGATTTTATGCTACTTTATTCTTCTTTTTGACAATAATAGGTACCATAATGTACAAAATAAACAATATGCATTACACTCAGAAGTAATGCCTATTGTCCATTTTTTAATGTCTATTCTAGCCTTATGTTTCCAAATAAACAGAGAAAGCTAAGTATTTACCCAGTCATTAAAAACCTCATTTTTTTGCAGTGCTTTTTTATTTTTCTATAATCCCTTATGACAAGCTAGTTTTTATGTTTTGTATCACCACAACACCTCATTGTCGTGCTCATCTCATTATTTTTGCAGTTCCCACAGGCTGAAGCGTCAGATAATATCTTTTGAACTGCAAATTACATGGAAGAGACGAGTGATGAGACGGCAGAAGATCAATCACCTCTCTGGGTGACAGGAACAGAAGGCCAGTTTATTAAAAAAAAAAATCACAGATACTTCTGAACTTTTGTTTACTTATGTCTGACTCAGAGGTGTAATGACTCTGAAATGATGAAACGCGTTGCTTCGGATGTGTGGTGGCTCACAGGATCTTATTACATTGCTAACAGGGCTGACCTTTGCGGACAGTTCTCGAATACACCGAGACACTTTTTCTTTTCTCTTTACACGACAAACCTAAACTGAGTCACGGCGTTTCATTATTTTTTTGCCCATTATCAGGTCCAAATGAACGTGGAACAAAACATCTTTCAAAACAGTGTCAGACAGTGGATGCTTCTCAAAATACATGCGTTACCCTTTCTTTTAACCAAAAGATTGAAGGCAGATGCTCTGAAAAGGTTACAGATTTTAATGAGGAAATTGCAAACAGAACAAGTGAGAATGATGCAAAAACAAACTCTCGGGGGTCTGGCTCAATCTCTTCCACAGGATGAATCTGCAAGGATCCACACTCAGATTATTCATTTAGAAGTAAAAGAATCAAATCACTCGAGAAGCGAGATCCCCAAAGTAGTTCAGCCAGACCTTCAAATCAGACTCTGCTCCTCTCCCAGGTTAATTAGCCTGGAGCTCAACACAAAAGTCCAAATCTCCATAAAACTTGACTCTTAGGTTCAATGCTAAATATCTCCCCAGGCTCCACTCTCCAACTTTTCCCACTATTCACCAATAGTTCTTGTAGATGGGCTTAGAGCCAGCCTTCTCCCCAAGCAATCAGCTGGCCCTCCAGGAATAAATCTACGGTAAGCTACAAGCAAAGGTAAGTAAGACTGGAAATGCGAGCCCAAGTGATACTACCAACAGCATAGTACAACAAACTGGGAGTGAACGACAAGGAGAGCCGGGTTTAAATACTGCAGCTGATAGTGATGAGAGACAGCTGGAGTTCAGGTGGCCACACCTACTCCTGGGAGGAGGTAAGCAGGTATTTCTGCCCATACGCGCCCACGTGTAGTTGTAGCAGGGAGACGGAGAGAAAGGCAGATCAGCACCTCGAGCACAAGAGGGGTCGTAATGTCCTGTGGTGCTGTATTTAAGTACAGTTATGAATTTCCAGAATTTCTTTATGTTTTCCACAACATTCTATCGACTTCCATTTTCACTTTTTTCAGAGCGTGATACCTAGATGATTAAAATCTACATCCACATTATCCCTGCATTTTTGAAAAGGTCTCCAATGAACAAATATCCTTCTGAATCTTTTGGATCCTATTTTATTTGTTTATTTCATATCGCATATAAAAGTGCAAATTTGTTCTTCTTTTGGCCTGATGCTCATTGCTGTCTGATTTCATCATTGTTCAAGCTTCTTCCTCTAACCTCGCCTTCACAGTGTTTTATTTTTTGGTATAATGTTTGTTGTCTTTTAATAATTTCTCTGTATTAATGTTGGCTCTGAACTGAGCTGAATAATAACAAATTAAACTTAACATTTTTGACTCATTTTGTAACACTTTTTCCCAGCAAGGACAGGCATGAAAAGTCTGTAAATAAATGTAAATAAAAGTCTTCTTTCTAAGTAATATCACTACTTTCCTGAAGTGGAAACAAAATGTTCTGGACAAAACAAGCCAGTGATAATCAACCGTCTCTAAGACCTGGTATCATTAGTCACATATTGAGTGATTGAGCTCATGGGTGGGTTAATTTAACACTAATATCTTTATTAGGTGAGAATGATCAGAAAGCCCATGAAACCTGAGAAAAATGTTTTCTATTGTGGTTTTTGTTTTTTTTTCTTTGTTTTGTTTTTTGCAGTGCATTTGTAGCTTTGTAGCAACTTCACACAATTCTTCTTCTTATTGTGTGAAGTTGTAGTTCCCAAATGGTGCAGAGGCACACTGTTGTACCTAGGGATTTTGTGTCAGTCTTAAGTACTGCAAGTGCACAACAAGTAATGAATTACATTTGAATTTGCCATATTTGTACACATCAAAGGGTGTGACTGATAGCAAGGAGGATCACACCATGTGCTCGGGTGTGAAATGCACCACTTTCATGTGCACAGTGAGCCACAGTTTACTCGAAATTCTCAGTGTTATGAAAGGTTCCAGCACTGCAAATATGCTATCAAAGGTGCCTTTATCTAACATTATAATCAGAACAAGAACTGATTATATTTCAGAGGACAAAGTATGTGTTTTTTTTTTGCAAAACTGAAGACAGCTGTGACTTGAAATGTCGCACACTTTCTTATTTTAGAGATACCCAGAAGCTCAGCCTCTGGGTCTAGATTTGGTCATACCCATTGCTGACCCATTGCTATGGCCTTACCAGGAGAAAAGTGGTGGACTAATGAAAATGTTCATCCTTACAGCTAATCATGTGGCCACAAGGAGCAGCATTATTGTAAAATATCTGCAAAGGAACTCTTTGATTACCATCAAATATGATGGCAGATTACTCCTTCACCTTGTCCATCAAATCCTCTAAAATAAACCTGATGTTCAGACTTTCAGGTAAAAAAAAAAAGTTGGTTATGAAGCAGCTGCAAACTCAGGAACTCCAGCACATGAAGTAAAGATTTCTGTGATTGACAGTGACATCAGATGTATTGTCCACATGAATGTGGGCCTCTGTGGGAACACATGAAAGCCAGCGCTGCCTCACATCTTCAAAGAGTAAGAATCATTTGTTTATTCTTACATCTCCCTTTGTCTCCTTCTTTACAGTTTTCTCCCGAGGATGGTGGGAGTGTGACAGCCAGAGGTCAGCCTTCAGCTCCCATTATATTCTGCAGTGCCTGAAATGCACCACACAAAACGGGGACAGCTTACATGGTAAGAATTCAGAAATTCTTTTTCAACTTGTTTCTATAGTTTTCAAACCTGTAAATTCCTGAAGTTATTTAATGTAAAAAAAAAACTTCATGCATTCTAACAAAGCGTGAAGGATTCCACATGACTTTTTCCTTGAAGAAAGTAAAATATGGACTAGACTGTTAGTATCAGTGGGGAAACAAAAAGCAGCTCCTCAAGATATTTTCAAGTAAAAAGATTGTCACAGTATGTGTTGTTATGTGATTGTGTGCAGAAGGTGCAGTATCAAGAGAAGAGAGAGACACAATACTGGAAAAAAAAGGAAATGCAGGGATGGTTGATTTAAAGCTACACTAAGCTACAGTGTAAATTAACCAGGCACTAAATAAGATGCTTTAAACTCCTCTTGGAATTTTTTCTTGGTGTTTTGAAATAAATAGTAGCCTGTTTCAGCTCATGTTTTGGTTCAGAAGAATGCGTTGAGTGTCACTCACAATGTGTTGAGCTACAGAAAGCAGCTGTTTATGGTGTAAAACAACAGCTAAGAAATCATTTTTTTCATGTGGTGACTAGTTTATCTGAATTAGCTTTTTCCATGTTTTGACTGTATTATTCAATTGATTAACCTCCTAGGACCTGGCGTCCACATATGTGGACATCACATTTTGGGATGTCTTGACCAAAATATAAAATTTTACTCTACAAGGGCCTGATAACCACTTACGAGGACATTATACTGCAAATGTTTGATTGAAATGTAAAACAAATGTCCTCGTATGTCAATCTTATTTTTGTCAGAGATAAAATCAGGTATAAAAAAAACCTGGAAATTCTTTGTTTTTATATTCATCAGGTCCCAAACAGCTCAAATAACAAAGAGAATTTAAAAATGCATGCCATGAAAGAGTTTGGGTCTTAGGAGGTTAAGCACACACAACCATTCATCTGGTACAGTTAGCAGAGGGGCCGTCTCAGCTCACAGTGGAGAAAGGATATCTTCAGTATACCCAGGAGTGTACAGTGCAGTCAGCCAAACACAGTGAGTCCTAAAATATTCACACAGTCCCTTTCTAGAAACTATTTAATAAAATATTTAAATAAAAAATAAATATAAATATAAATAAATATTTAATAGCAGAATAATTATCATATTTAATTTAAATGAGGTATTAAATCTGCATGTGCTCAGTTGTTAGGATATGCTATACTGGATATATATAGCATATCCTATTGTCCTGACAAAATATCTGAAGAGACCCTCGTCACCTTTACACTCTCAAACGATAAGGTAAGCCCACCAAAACACTGACCTCTAAGGTACCCTTTACACAGGGAATTTATCTGTATCACACTAACCCTCTTAGAGAAGCATATTACTGCCAAATTATGATCAGCAACTCACATAACTTACGTTGCACCCTAATATTGCAAACATACGTGTATCTTTTTGGCACTCAAAATTAGGATATTCTGATGCTGGCCGACACCCCAAACACTTCCCGTTTATCTATAATGTACCTACCTTCCCTACTATCTTTGTACTTGTTTCTGTGTCCCATCCTTCCTTCTTCTTTCTCTGTTTGTCATCCTCTCTCCAGGGGGTACCAGAGAGATCTTCCATTTATGGGAGCTGCGATTGATCCACAGTCAGAGCTCTAAGAAACCACAGCCTCCAGTCTACTTCTTTGCTTTTCTGTCTTTTTTCTGCCATCTTCATTATTAGTAAACCTTTCAGTACCTGCTTTTGAGGGTACAAATAGCTACCTTGAAGGCCAGTAATTAGCTCTAGGAGGAGCTTTTGTGTAAACTGGAACTGTAGAGACAGGTACAAAAGAATACTGCTTTGATCTGAAATGCTGTGCAGCTACTACACAGTTGTTATTAGTTGTTATCCAATGAAACACTTACAGATTTATACCTTTTACTTCTAAATTATTGAACAATTTAACTTAATTAAATTAAATTATATTTAACTCTGCCTTGTGGAATGTACTTTGAAAGTGCATCAAACTAACATCAAACTAAAGACATGTCTGGGTTAAAAGCACCCTGGATATCCTTTAATCACAAGGCTTTTATTTTATGTACTGATGCTATGACTTGTCAGCCTTTTTAAGCCCTTCCAGATGAACTGGATTAAGGTAAGAAAACCATTTGGCCTTGAATACTGTCAGGAACTGAACAGCCCTTCTGGTGACCTACAGGTGTCGTTCGTTGCGGTGTGGTGGTGAAACTGAAGGTAACACCTACACAGGAATAACTTAATAATGAAAAGAGACGTACGCTTGCTTTGATCTTTGATGTAAAGAACATGTTCAATAGACACTGACAGGGAACATCTTCATCCACTTCGAGGGAGAGGTGTTTCCAGAGAGGCCTGTCAGTGAGCCTATATCACCGTGTCTTTATGTTTGACATTTTAAATCCCTTTAAACCTCGTAGCTGGAGTTCAGGGAACAGACTTTACCACTGAAGACATTTATTAGAAGGACATCTTAAAAAATAACACAAACTAGCAATAGCACTATGCTGGCCTTGAGCGTAAAAAAAAGCAAAAAGCAGGTTTTCAGTGAGCCTCTTCCAAAAGAACTCGTGAGCATCTATTCAGTAAAATAGCCCAAAATAGCCATGAGGAAAAAATTAAAATGTTTAACCAACACAAAAAGTTTTACAGTTGTTCAGAAAAATCAAAGCAAAGACTTGTTTTCTCTTTAAAATCGTTTGCATTGAACCTTGATTGACTTTTTATGCAACTGGAGTTCATAGTGCAACAATAACGCGACCATCTTTTGACCATTCATCTATTTCTACATCACATCAAAGTCGTCACATATTCTTTTAACGGCCCACACACGAGAACTAACAGGGAGTTAGTTGTACTTTCAGTTTCAGACTTGTGTATGGCACGGCTGTTGTAGCTTCAGCAAGTGAGGTTTTCCCTGGAGGCACCAACATGGTGTTGGTAAAGGTTTATGTTGGCTACGGGTTCAACATCAGCAGTTTGTTTTCTTCACATGTGCTGCACATGTTGGCCACATTTATACCTGAGTAGGTATCAACAAAAAGAGATTTTTTTTTAACGTTCCCACTCATCTAGCTAGAAAAACACCATTTTATCTCTCCCTCTGCGTCCCTGAATGTGTCGGCACTGTTCAGGAGGCGTTTCATCGTCACTGTTGCTCTGCTCAGTGGATCAGCACCAGGCAAATGACCTCCCCACCATTTCAAAGAATAACTTGTTTGGCTTTCTGAAGTACCGACAAAGCTTCTTCAAGGCTTGGGTACTCAGTGGAGCATGTGGCCTGCCTTTAGACTCGTCCAGGCACTTGTCGTGTCCAGCCGACAGGAGGCAGTAGAAGCCCTTGGTGGTGTTGTAGTAGAAATTGCTTGGGTTGATCCTGGGCGGCAGGTCCAGAAACCTCTCTGCCTTCCTCAGCTCAGGGAAGGGATCCCGAATAAGCGCATCTCCGTCCACCACGTGGATCTGCTCCCTGGGGAAGACCTCCAACCAGCGGGCAAGGTGCTGGTGATAGAGGCTCCTGTGCAGTGCCTTGTATCCAGGATCAATATGGCCTTTGTGGAGTAGGAGCTCCTCTAGGGGCTTGTAGGGCTTGTGTCGTGTTAGGCGGTTGTGCAGAACCTGGGTGTAGTCAGAGATCAGCCTCTCAGCTGGGTCCCGGACAATGAGTAGCAAGCGGACAGCAGGGTTCATGTCTGAAACTCGTGCAGGAACCTGAGGAGCTGCGAAGTAACCTGGGGTCTTTTCCACTGTCAGTTGACCTGGGACTGTGAAGGGCATCTGGGCTCGGTACCAGGCCAGACCTCTGCGGTAGTGCTCCTCCACATTGAAATAATGCACCTGTCAGAGGATGCAGAAGGTATTTAGTGATGTAGATGGGGGAAAGCAGGTCTTCATTCATTTTTATACCACTTGTTGACACTGTTGTTTTGAAATTTTTGTTTAAAAGGAAATTTTAGGGACATCTAATAATTTCTAAACCTTTTTACCATCTAAAACACTTTTTTCTTCATTTAGTCCCAATCTTGTCTAAACCAATCTATTCTTTGGCACCAGTTTTCTAACTTCATAGTCCTCATTTTAAACTATCCTGATTAGGATTTCTCTCAGTGCAGCTTTTCAGGACAGGCCCGTCACCATTCATCATACTTACAAATGTACATGACAAACTACACAGAAACTCAACTCTCTTTGCTCTGGTTTCTTTACTGCACTGAAGAAGATGCAGTACGTGTTTGGCCTGAACTAAACTTTCAGAAAATCCTCACGCATTTGATAATTAGACCGCCTCTGTGCCCTCTTGGTCTTGCCTGAGTTGCATCTCCAACTTTCCGAGTGCAGAGTTTTACACTTCTACAGTATATATTTGCACCTGGGGCATTTTGTTAGCTCCATTACCTTGAGATTGAATTTTTTGCTTCAGTGCAGCTCTATATTGTTAGAGCTGAGTCTGTTAATACATATTTTCAGACACAGAAGGTCTATCCACAGTTAGAATCATTATTACTTACTGAATTTTCAACTAATTTTCAAGTACTATGTTATTTTCTTTGCTTGGAGTTTTCAGATTTTTCATGGCCAACCAATGTCTGGTTCTTGGCCTGGAGTTTTGCCACTCTAAATACAAAATCCTGCGAGCTTCTGGAGGTTGACCTTGCTATTCTTTGAATACCATCAGGTGGTTTTGAGGCACACTGATGAAATTTGTACAATTCAATAAAAGCAGATTTTTTTTTAAAGGATATACAAGTGAAAAGAAAAAAAATGTTGATGTGAGATTTCACATAAGGGTTTCAACAAAAACTACAAATGAATTTTTGACACGTATAAAAATAGATTTTGACGTCCATCATATATTTAAGAAGAAAACAGACATTTTTCTGAATGGGAACATTTTATCCCAGTTTGACGTTAGAGTAGAGAAGATGAAACTACCTAACAACACTTAAGTGCTTAAGTGCAAACTGAATAATTATTGTCCGCAGCTGGTGATAGTGAAAAGTGTTTTGTTTATCACCTCAGCCTTTGCCACTTCCACATCTGGGTGCAGATTGAGCATCTCGAGCAGGGCTCTGGTGCCTCCTTTCCGCACGCCAATGATAATAGCTCCGGGCAGCCGCTGCTGGGTAGCATTGTAAAAGGAGGAAGAAGATGATGGAGGGGAGTAGACGGAAGAACTGGAACCCCCAGAGCGCAATTCCCTTAAGCACACAGACAGCTGAGTCTGCAGCAGCAGAAGCACCAGCAGCGCTAGTAGCACTGTCCACAGCATGGTGCCACACGCACACACACAGAGGTGGAGTGATGGTTATGAGCACACTCTCATGAAGCTCCCGGACCAGTACGTTGTGCTTGTTATGAGTCAGCGGGGGGTCTCGGGAGGGAGCCCTTCAATTGGACAACCTATGAAGCAGGAAAAAAATAAAGGTTATCATCCACTTTTACTGTCTCACTCTGCCACTTTCTTCTTTAATAGCACCAGTGTAGCAGAAAGGTCGAAAAGTGATACACTTGTCAAGAAAGTTGATGATAAATAAGCAAAAATTAATTCCGTCTGAATATAAATTACTGTGAGCAATCGTTATTAAAATTCAACAGCATGAAAACTGAAGGCTGAACTAAGACCTTTAATGTTTTTTTTTTTTTATCACTTTTATTGCAACCTCATAACACATTTTAGGCTGTTATTTACTGTAACTCAAGGAAGCTGCAGTCAGATCAAAACAAGGAAAAAATGTTTTAGCCTCAAGCATGAAAAAAACATTTTGAAAAATCGAATGTATTATTAATAAGTGGTTTATAAGAGTTTAAATAGAACAATAGGTGCAATGAGGCAACTATTTTTGATCATATGTAGGTTAACTTTAAATGTGGTACATTTTTCTGTCTGCTGCATGTACTGCACATATAACTGCATGCTTTAGGAATTCCACGTTAGCTTGAAGATGGACACGTTTGAATGTGTGTGTGTGTTGAATCTGCACCAAAAGAATAAAAATCTTTAAGAAAGGATGTCGAGTCGGCAACACTCAGATTATGACCTCAGTCACAGTGCAGTTTCTTTTCATCCCACATAGCTAAAGCTCATTGCTACATGGTGCTTGCTCGACTGTTTCGTGATCCCATACAGTATGTCTGAGACAGCTCTGCACACTAATGTGTCAAGTCCAGGCCAAAGTAGTGCAGGTTTGGAGCCTCAGATATAGGGCTGCAATATGAATGTAGACAGAAAATATTAAAATATTAATCTATATCTAAAGCAGATGGAGGAAATGCATTGAAAATTTATGCTGTTATGGGGTTTACAGTCTCCCTAAGGAGCGCTTACACCCATCTGAGTTCAGTGGAACCATTTTTACAGTGGAGGAGACGAGCCGCAGAGATCCTGAAATCCCGAAAGTGGAATTTTGTCTCATTGGGTTGTTTGAGTTTAATCTGGTGGTGAGATTTTAAATTAGCATAAAAATTTGAATGCTCGTGTTAAAAACAGACAAGGTTTCAAATGATGAGTTCAGAGTCTGTACGAGGAGTCCCCGTCGGGGGAGAGATCAGACCTCAGACGACCTTAAACACTCAGGTTCAGTTTTTTCAACTCTTGACTCTTTATGCTGACAAAGAGAGCAGATATACCTCATATAGTCATGTAAAACAAAGCCTATTATCAGATAAAAATTAGATTTTGTGCTACTAGAGTCCAAGAATAAAAATATGGAGTTGCTAAACTTGCAATGAACATTTTAGGTCCCCTCTAACTGTAAGAAAACATTTTTTCCACTACTGTATCTAAAGGAGTCCAGAGATCTTCCATCCAAAAAAATATCTTTGCAGGTGCCCCCCCCCCACCACCACCTTTTTTGTCTTTACATAAATAAATAATATGTATCCAGGCACAGTATACAGGAAAACTCTTCTTAAAGAAAAGACAAAGGAGAAACTAAAGAGCAGTTTATCTTCAGTTCTTTGTGGTGAATTTGTTTTGAAGATGTGAGTTTAATAGTTACTGTTTCAGATTCACAGCAGGATTTTTACAGAACTTCTGAGTCCTGACCACAGTGATCAATAACCTATGAAGGGTGCCAAACAAATACATGAATAAAACATACTCAGATGGAGGAATAATGATCGTTTTGTTCGAAGCATGCTTATGGGCTTTAGTTTTAAAATAAAATGATTGAAGTAGCTCTCATATTACTGGGGTAAGAATAAAGTGAGGAAGTGAAAAAAAAAATTAAACGTAAAAACAATAATGCAAGGTCTGTAGAGCTTAAAAAAAGAGGCAACTCTACTTCTTTAAGTCTTTGAAGATTTCAGCTTTCATCCAAGAATATCTTCAGTTTAAAACCAAGCGGTGGAAAGTCCCAGGTATTTATACCCGAGTGAGGGTTGTTCCCTTGGGCACGAACCTGAAGGTCACTGACCCACTACTGATAATATAAGTCATCACGTGGTCATGTGAATAAAAAGGTGCAGGCCATTCCCATCACTGCGGGTTAAAGGTGAAGCCACTGCGAAAACTTACCCCACCCTGGATTCACAGTCTATGTCCGCTGTGAAAGACCGTCATTGAGCAAAAGTGGAAGCTTACAACAGCAGCTATCAGCCACTTGCAGTGAAGTCTTCAGATCCCTTCCCAGGAGCTTCAACACTAACACCTTTGTCCAGGTGAACTCAATAGGTCACATGATAGTGTGAGGCAAGGTCTCACAGGGGTTTCACTCTGAACCCTGGTGAAGAAAATGACCCACGCTATTTTTTCACACCTTGGCTATTGATCGGTTAGTCAATGACCCTCAGGACAGTATCCGAGGGATAACTCCCATCAGCTTTTAAACAACTTTTTGTTCATTGCCCTTTTCAAGCTCCCTAAGATGATTGAAAACCTACACAGAGAACAAACTGCAAGATCTGAAAATTAGTATTATACATGTAGCTGTAGAGGTTGGACACCAATGTTCAATTTCAGATTTAATCTTCCACTTTATCACAGTCATTAAGCTGAAAAGGTCATTCCACACCTCCCAGTTTGATGTGACAAATGAGTGCAGATTACCTGCATATATGGCATTTAAGGAGACTTATGTGAGAAATTCATGTTTAACTGGTTTCTATTTTATTTTTTATAAATGTTTTGATATGAGCCATGTAATAACCTGCTTTCTGGGTGTTGTTTTTACTTGTTGCTGGATGTTGTGTGGACATGTATGCAAATAAGAATCCAGAGAACTCAAATGCTGTGAATAGCATTTCGGTGCACAAACTTTCCTTCAGTTTTTATCTGTTTTGATTTCAGAAATTTGATTTCAGGAGCTTTTTCCCAGTAAACGTGTTGCTTTCTGCTCGTCAAACCAGCACGATCTCAACACAAAAGCATCAGATGTTTAACAACTCAAGCCAACGGCCTCTTGCGGTTTAATAAATGCAAGTAAATTCACTACTGTTGATGCTACAATCAGTCCATTTGATAATTCCAAAGACGTTTGTTGCACATGAGAAAAGACTCCCATCGGTGCTTTGTTCCACAACAACATGTAGTGAACACTGTGAAAGAGTCTTGTTTTGTGAATAAACAAAATAAAGTAGTTTAGATGCTTTAACCTAACAAAACAGCAAGTGAACATGAAGACAGAAAAATATAAAAACAGCGAACAAAGGGTAAAAACAGCGTTCCCACATACTAAGCTTCTTTGTTTGGCAAAATGATCACAAACTTCTGGAAAAGGAGACTATATATCGTTGTATCTCCAAACAATTTATCATTATAATTTGAGCAGTGATACTGATCCAATCACCCTGATTATACTCCACTGGGTGGTCCAAAGTGCTGGTAAATTTGCACCAGTATGCTTTGACATGTCAACTCCAACTGTAGAGTGAAATATTCCAGTCAGGAGAAGGTAAGAATTTGATTGAAGCCATGTCAAAGCTCTCACACTGTAGTTAAAAGCACCCGCACATTTGATTTGCAGTGCCCAATTACATTATTATTATATCATCATATAGTCTACAAATTTTAAAAGATTTTTATTTGTATGGTACCAAATTCTGTGCATGTGAGACTGTGACAGTTGTTTTACAAACAGGAAGACGACGTACAATAAGAGCTGAAATAATTGGTCCATTTACATAAAACGATTGCTTACTTATACATAATAAGTTATATCATAAGATTATAAATACTATTTATAATTTATCTGATTTTTGCTGAAAATGATTTGACTTTGACACGTAATATTTAAATTTTGATGCCTCACTCTTGGCACAAGGCGGCTGTGTAATTTTTTAACACTTCCACAAGATTTTTTCCCGCATTCAGCACTTTCATGCTTGACGCTTTGACCACATTTTGTCGATTCAGCTTTTATTTATGTGATATTTTGAATGCAGCTCTTGCTGCAGAGTGCTTTTACACTGAAATATTAATCCTTCTACTAATGTAAAAGAAGGCCAACAACAAAAACTAGCAATGTTTTTTTTCTTTAAAGAAAATCCAGTAAAGAAAAACAGCTTCATCACTTATAAAGAACTTTGTTTCTTGCTTTGGCAAAACTGTGTGGATATATGTAGACTCAGGCATTACATGACATGACCACAGTCATATGACGGGTGGATTGCATTATGGCGGTTTAACCAGAGACACTCGTTTTTATTTTTCGGCGTTTGTGGGAAGCTAAATTAAAGGTCATGTTGTGTTTGTGTAGGAAACTTTTAGCGATCACTTGTTTTAATTAAAACACAGCTTCTTCCTGTTCCTGCTCTTGTTGTTGTTGAGCTGAAGTTGCAGTGACGCGACTGAGTTATTAATTAGTGTAACAATGTTCTGGTTCAGAGGAGGAACCCTGTCTAGCATTGTTCCTGTAGCGACTCACTAATTGCACCTTCAGGGAGCGTAACTGCACCCCGACCTTCTGTGCTATCCTCTGGCTTAGTGACGCTGGCGTCACACGTCCCTTGCTGGCTGTGGATGGGACTCCCAATGTACATCAGCAACGTGTGGATGTTGTCGGCTGAAGTAGGTGTTGTGGGTGACGTCATCGTTCATTATTATGTTTCAGAAGTGAGAGTAAACAGGTTCATTTTAGAAAATGTTCAAAGGAACATTTCTGCAGTTTTAGATGACTTCTTTGTAAAGAATCACTGGGATTGGATAAAATTAAGTACAGTCATGTAAATTTAAATAAAAAAGAAACATCTTAGACCTGTGCAAAAAAATGCATATTCAATGTACATTTTCATGACTGTTATGTCAGCACTGACATAGAAAGAAAGCTGAATCAATCTGCCCACTTTGTCAAAAAAGTCTAAATTCTACTCGTTCAACTTTAGTCAAACTACAGCTAACAAACCACATTTATTAGCCCTAAGCTACTCATTTGATTCCAAACTATTTGTAGATAATGCCACAATGATCTCTCTGTTATCACTCATTATTATATGCAGCTCTGAGCTGAATGAATGTTGTTTTGTTGTTTTATCGCAAATTCTGACCGGTTCCAGCTTTTGACTGAAAAATATATTCTCCGTTTTTGCAAGCTCAGATAGATGAACAAGATTTTCAAGAATTACACAGGGATTAAAAAGTTGCATCTGCAGTGATTATTATTATTCCTGTGGTGTCTTATCGCTTTGTACAAAACCAGAACATTCGAGTCGACTATTACCTCCAGCCTCACACTGTTCAGTGATTACAGCCCCTAATAATTCAGCCAATAGCAACTGAAATCCCCGGCTCCTATACATTAGCTGCTTTAAGCAAGTAGCAAGATTTCCTGATTCAGATTCCCTACAGTCATGATTTTGATGTAAAGTGGCAAACTGCGTGCTGACGCCAATCAATCACAGTGTAGGGCATGTGCAATTTATGTGAGCAACCGAGACAAAGAAAGTAATCCTCAGTGAGGTTTATGTGTGTGCGCGCTGCACAGAGACACGCATGCCTTGCATTAAGTGGTTGCACGAGTCCCTTGTGACTTCTCTGTAAGCTGGAATATTCCCCTGCTGTCAAGTCGCTTCACTTCCACTTCACCTCGTGACCTTCCTCTCCCTCTTCCACCTCCTTATTACCCTCCTTCTCACCTACACTCATCATCTTTCACCCTCACCTCTGCTCTTTGTTTCCTCAGCCTGTTCCTGACTCTGTCTTCCTGAGTTGTTTGAATCCTTGCGTGTTTATGTGGATCAGCAGCACATGCAGCACCATGCTAATGGGGATGCCCTGCAGCAGCCTCTTAGCGGCTCATAAATAAAACACAAACGCACCTTTCCGCCCAGAAATATTTTTGAGTCAATGAACTTTTAATCTTGATGAACAAAAAATGACACAGGATTGCAGTTGGAAATGGGAAATAGTTCCACGGATGTAAAAACCCGGCACTGATTAAAAGTTATTTCAAGGTTTAAATAAGGTTATTGCTGTTTGGCTCAATGCCGTGATGGAGCACACTTTGAAAAGTAAACCAAAGAAAACACTGTAAAAGTACAAAAAGGGCAAATCAGCAATCCATTTTTCAGATTGCTCATGTATTTCTTGGTTCTAAATTATTTGTTTGAGTCTTTTACTTGCAGACAGATTTGCAAACTTGCAATCGGAGTTCCTTTAAAAGACAGAAATCTTTGGGATAAATGGTATGTCTGCTGAGTTTTACTGAGAAAAGTTTTTGCTTCCACCTAAACCTTCATGGAGATAAACATCAAACACACAATAGCTCAACGTGGCCGCAAAGTCAAGCTCAGCCACAGTCCCAGCCAATCAGCTGATTTCAGTGACAGCCCACATCGGCTGATACCTTCTACACTCATAGTAGGTTCTTTCAGCCAGTCTACAGTTGCAGCACATCTGCAAGCCACTTTGAAACCCACCTCCCCTCTAGCTCCATCATTTATGCAGTTCTGACTTTCAGCATTATGTAATATTACTGATTCTTGCTTTATTGAGACGGGGTCTTGCTGATGTGCTTTGGCTTTTCATCTCTGGTGGGGATTTCCCAGAATGGACCTACACCAAATGTAAAAATGAATGCAGATAGAACTCACAATTTTCTATTTATTTTTTGACTACAGTGGTTCTGATTGAAATTACTTTTTTCAGTTTGCACTTTGCTGAAAATTGACTAAAAACTAACATGGATGTTCTCTTCATTCAGTGCTTATTAAAATGCATGCACAAGTCCCCTGTTAATGATAAAAATAAGCAAATGAGTTTAGGATTAAAAAAAAACTGAGAGATTTCTGTTTAGCAACTGGCTGGACTGTTTTCTTTTTTTATTGGCACCATATGAGCAGCCTCTCAGCTCTGCTCAATGAGCCTCACATGAATCATTGCAAGTCCTTGTCTTTCCCCGCTCATCGCTTCTTGTGATTCACATTAGCCAGCATGCAAAGGGAGAACAAACAACAACAACAACAATGCCAAGATTGCCAATGACGCATGAATTCTCCATACTGACAAACACACGTTATCTAGCCAAGCTGCAGACGATAGAGATGGAGGGGAAAGGAGAGAAAAGGGGGAAGGGTGGAGTGTAATTATCTGTGAAAGGCAGATGCTTCCATCTGCATTTGGGGAGAGTACCAGTGTCTTATAAGTTCTGGTGTGAGTGTGTTTGTGTGTGTCTTGTGTCATCTGCATGTGTGCAGAGCCTTAGCCTTTTGTGCAGACACCCAGCATGTGACTGCTAGTGATCCAGGCCCCTGGAAATATCTTTTTACAGAGCGATGGTATTTGGGGGTGGGGGAGGGATTATCCTGTACTGAGAGTCAGAGGGTGGCAGGGAGGGAGGAGATGGGTGGTAGGGGGGAAGGATGAGACTGAGGTACAGTTGTTGTGTGTGTGAGGCAGCAGGAAGATTGTCTCTGGTAGGGGGTGGCATGGTGAAACGCTTTGGATTGCCAAGCCTGTCATATCACCAAGGCTGTGAAAGTCTGATAAAACTCTCTCTGTCCTCCTTCCTTTTCTTTCTTCTTTCATTTGCCCCCCTCCCCATCCATCTCTTTTTCAGACTCTACTCACCATCCTTTCCTTTTTTCACCTTGGGTTTCACCTTCATTTACCCCAAACTTCCCACACATTTTCTTAGTTTTCTGTCTCTTTATATACCTTCTTTAATCCAGGTCCTG